TCATTGCAGCACTATTTATAATAACCAGGACATGGACTCAACCTAAATGTCCATCAACAGAGGAGTGGATAAAGATGTGGTACACATATACACTGGAATACTACTCAGCCATAAAAAATGACATTTGCAAACCTGGATGAACCTAGAGACCATCATACTGAGTGAAGTAAGTCTGACACAGAAGGATGAATATCGTATGATACCACTTATATGTAGAGTCTTAAAATAGGGTAAAAGGGAACTTGTTTACAAAACAGAAGTAGAATCAAAGATGTAGAGAACAAACTTACAGTTCCCAGGGGGTAAGAGAGGAGGGATAAGTTGCAAGATTGGGATTGACAGAGACACACTCGTATAAAGTCAGTAACCAACAAGAACCTGCGGCAGAGCAGAGGGAACCGACTCAGTACTCTGTGATGGCCCATGTGGGAAAAGAATCCTTAAAAGAGCACATACAGGTGTGTGTATAACCAGCTCACTTTGCTGTACACCTGAAATGAACACATTATAAATCAGCTGTACCTCCAACAAAAAAATTTTTTTAAAGAGAGAAAATAAGGTAAAAATAGTGTTGTGTGACTTCCTATGTCAGGTAATAAAAGGCAATTGCAGCTTCAAAAAAAAAAGAAAAAGATACAGGAGGAAGATGAAGCACTACAAAGTTATGAGGAAAGCCAGAATCTCGTGTCAGAGCAGAAAACAAGGTGTGTTGGGTGTGGTCAATGGGCACTCATCGGCCTTTCCTACCTTCTGTTCTATTTGTCTTTCTGGACAGTTAAAGACTACTTTTCCAAGATTCTCTTGCAATCAGAGGGATGGATGCAAATTGGTTTCCAGCAATTCCATGTATTACTCAAGATGTATTCTAGAAGATTGAGAACTGAGACAGAGGCTGTACAGTCCTGATGCTCTTGACTGATTTCTGTTGAAGTTGTGGAAATTTTCTGCAGCAGTGTTCCAGTGTCTAGTTTCTAGCTTCGTGCTTGGTCCGTTGTCTTGGTGGTGGTAGCAGCTTCCTAACACCCGGACTGTAGCCATATCGTGTAGTGTGTTCTGATTCTCTACCTTCCTAATTTTGGCAAAGGTACCATCTTCCCTGGCAGGCCAGTTGTGATGGCATTCTTGGAGGTCTGAGTATACCCAAAGCTCATCCAAAATTTTATTAAACACCTAATTTCTATACTAATCCTTTTCTTATGTTGGGAAAGATTGAAGGCAGGAGGAGAAGGGGACGACAGAGGATGAGATGGTTGGGTGGTATAACTGACTCAATGAACATGAATTTGAGCAAGCTCCGGGAGTTGCACAGGGAAGCCTGGCATGCTTCAGTCTATGGGATCACAGAGTCAGACACAACTGAGTGACTGGACTGGACTAAATCCTTTTTTGCTTAACATCTCTAGAGTGGTTTCTTTTATTCTTTTTGAATCTTTACAGAATGAAAGGACTATTTCTGGGAGGAATCCTGTGTGTTTGTTTTTTCCCACATCACCGAGTAATAAACTCAATTCAATTCTGACACTATTCACATGGTGATAGTATTATTAATCTCACAGGCTAAGGGCTCAGTCCTACAAGACTGCCTCCCCTTCAGACATCAGTTTCAAGTCCAGGTTCTCACCTGGTCTTCCGAATACTGCTGTAAATTGCAGGTTCCCATGATCCTTGTCTCAGGTTTAATTAATTTGTTAGGGTGTCTCACAGAACTCAGAAAAATATTTTACTTAGGTTTATAAGTTTGTTATAAGAGAATATGACTTAGGAACAACCAGATGAAGGAGATGCAAAGGCAAATTAAGTGAGAAGGAGTGCAGAACTTCCACACCCTCTCTGAGCATACCACAGTCCCCGAATCCCCACATGTGAAATCTCCATGTGTTCACCAACCAGAAGCTGTCAGAAATGGTTCTTTGAGGTCTTTATGGAGGTTTCATTACCCAGACACGATTGATCAAATCATGGCCATTGGCCACTGGAGATTGATTCAGCCTCTTAACTCCCCTTGGAGACCAAGGGTGGGACTGAAACGTCCAACCTGCAGTCACAGGGTTGGTGCCCATCCTTCCTGCTCTCCAAAAGTTACCTTGTTACCATAAACTCAGATGTGAATGAAAGGAGTTTGTTAAATCTGTCAAGACACCTTTATTGCTCTTATCACTTAGAAGAGTCCAGGGGTTGTTCCTGCTCCTAAAATCTCTGTGCCAGAAACAGGGACAAAGACCAAATATATATTTCTTATTATGAATCACAATATCACAGATCTTCATTTATTTCCCTTAAAGGATCTACTATGCCACTCTAAAGAGTTTTTATTTAATCCATGAGCAAAGGGAAGCCCATGAATAGTTTTAACAGAAGATTTACAAGAGCATATCTGCACAGTTTGGAAACATCATTCAGTCTAGGGAATGAGTGGGGAGATATCAGGGCTAGAAAGAGGGCATCCATTCGGGATTGTTGGTTGGTATTATAGGCAAACCATGATGGGGCCTAAACTAGGGTGATGGCAGTAGAGATGGTGAGGAAGAGGATGGGTACAAGAGAATTTTAAGAATATGGAATGAAGAATTATACCTCAAACACTGATTTGTTGCTGTTGTTTAGTTGCTAAGTCATGTCCGATTCTTTTGCAATGCCATGGACTGTAGCCCACCATGCTCCTCTCTCCGTGGGATTTCCCAGGCAAGGGTACTGGGATGGGCTGCCATTTTCTTCCCCAAGGAATCTTCCCAACCCCACGTCAAACCAACGTCTTCTGCACTGGTGGGTGGATTCTTTACCACTAAGTCACCAGGGATGTCTGCAAACATTGCTTAGCCACAGTTAAAAATTGAAGACTTGGGTCACCATGATATTTTCTGAGAAGTTGGGTAAAGAAAAGTGCTATAGACTAAGAGTTTGTGTCCCCCCTAATATTCCCATGTTGAAAGCTATTCCTCAGTGTGACGGTGTTTGGAAGGGGGCCATTGGGAGCTGACTGGGTCGTGAGGGTGGGGCCCTCATGCATGGGATCAGTGCCCTCATAAGAAACCCCAGAGAGCTTCCTCCCCCCTTCCACCAAGTGAGGAGATAGTGAGGTGACCATCTATGGACCAGGAAATGTGCTCTCATCAGACACTGAATCTCCGTACTTTGATCCTGATCTTCTCAGAACTGTAAGGAGCAAATGCTTGTTGTTTAAGCCACCAAGTCTAGGGTATTCTGTTATAGCAGCCCAAACAGACTGACAAGGCAGACAATAAAAAAAAATCATATTGTTGACATACGTACTTTAAGAAATTAAGTGCTGTGCTATTTATTGCCCTTCTCCACAAAATAAGGAAGAAAAATTTATAGTATATTCCATATTTACCTTCTAGTGGCAACAGAGCATGATTAAAAAATAATCCACATGGGGCAAAAGTCTTAAATAGGATGAAAGTGCATATATTCTACATCTTGAATCAAGATTCCAGCTCCTCTCTGCAGTTAAGATTTTCAGTAAGCAAGAGAAAGGATTTTGCCAAGATTCGCAACTATTTACAAAGCTCTTATTTATTCTGTCAGAATAACCATTAAGGTCTTGTGAAAACCTCAGAGGAAAGTGCATTCTTTTAAGAAGTTATTTGCTTAAGTCGCAAATGTGTTTGTTATGGGAAAGTCAATTTACTTAATTTGCAAGTGATCTCAGTAACTATTTATTAATTTACCACTCAATGTATTATATTAGACAGAAAGCACCTGACTGCTTAGTCTAATTTTCTGTCTGAAAGGTGCTTGAAATTAAAGTATGCCTTCAGCCAATTCTGATCTAAATGCATAATAAAGCTTTGTTCTTCTATAAGTGGTAGGATAGTCAGGACTTGGTGACTGATTTGATAGACTGGGCACAAAAGAATCTTCAGGAGTGATGCCCAGGTCATAAGGGTAGGGCCCTTGGGTAACCAGTAGGGGAAGAAGATGTTTGGTGACAGAGGGTCACAGGAGGAGGAGGAGAGCAAATTTTTCAGGAAGACAGGGTGTTTGACTCTGGACATGGAAACAGAGGTGCCTGCAGGACAAACTAACAGAGCTGAGTAACAGGCAAATAGAGGTATGTGGATGGAACTCAAGAGAGTGATCTAGACATTTTAATTTGAAGCCAAGTGCACATGACTCATATAGAGCCATTCTCAGCTAAGTTCGGGACCCTTGTAATTTGACCCAGGAAAGGTCAAACAGTTCTTACTAACTTAATGCTTTCCTCATTGAGAACAGAAAAGGTTGACTTTGAAAGAAAATCAGTATCCACTGTGGTGAATACTGCCCTTGAGTAATTTAGGGTAAAACCAGCCATGGCATTGATGTTGGGCATGACGGGCCCTCCATCTTGCCCTCATCAGGGTCCAGAACATAACAGGTACTCAGTAATTATTTGTTGGATAAAAAAATGGTTAAATATCCCCATTAACCATAACCTGCCCTCAAATATGTCGTCATCCAATGAAACTGGAAGTGCAAAGGCTAGAAATGCTTCTTTTTTAATGAAAGGATCATCCCCACGTACTTCTGGGAGGGGTAATCAGCAACAACCATGGGTCATACAGTTCCCCATTGGAATAATTTTTGGAAAAAGGAACAAGGATGGGGAAAGTGGGAGCGACTGAAAGGAGAAGGGAGTCATGGGGGTCAGGCTGCTTCCTTCTGGTCTTTTCTGGGGGCTGATCTGGTCTGGAGGCCTGAGGCCCTCCACCCAGGACACTCTGAAAGGACCAAGTTGTCCTTCCTTCCATCCTTTCCATTACTTGTTTTCAAATGTGCTGCTGCACTCCCACCTACCCCCAGGAATATCAACAGTCTGAAGGCCCACCTGCCCCCTCCACTGATCTTCACAGCATTGATCTTTGCCACTAAATAGCAACTTGAAAAGCCGAGGAACAATGTGTCTCCCCCAACAGTAATTCTGAGCCCTCTTTGGAGACTGAAGTTGCAATGCTCGGGTTTGTAAGAGGCCACCTCTCTGCAGGGAGAGAAAAGTGGAGATGCAGGAGTGCTGGGGAAAGGAGAGCCTTTGTTTCAGCCACAAAGATATTAACAAAGGCAAGGCCCTCACCCAGTTGGAGGGAAAGGAGTTAGAAACTTGGGTGGTAAGCCTGCCCCCACCCTTCACTCTGACTTTGGCCTCTGCTTATTATTATGGTTCAGCTTCTTCTCTCCTTAAGTCACTTTTGGCTTCTGTCTTGATGAGCAGCAACACAGAAAGCGTAAACCTGTCCCTGGAACATCATCCTTTAGAGCCTGAAATGGAATACTTCTGGAATAACCTTTCTCCTCGTGTCTGTACACAGCCCCAGAACCAGCAATTCTGCAAGAGGGGAGTGGAAACTGAGGCCACAACCTATATTAGGGAGCCTTCCAAAACGCTCCTCCCTGAAACAAGCAGAGAATTAACAAAACATACTGCGAAGGAAGGGGGAGGTCTGGATGTCAGGTTAGCCTCTTGTAGAGACTTGTCCTCAGCCACGTGCCTTCCTCAGTTAACAGAAACTCGGTAAGTGTTAGCATTGCACACTGAGGGTTAAGTTTAGCTGACATAGTGGCCATGGAATACCAGCCAGTCCATCTCCTGATTGTCCTTTGTTCCAAGAGCTCTAGCATCCCACCTTGAAAAATAGTAGAAAAAAAAAAACAAAACTCTACCAGGTCTCCTCCTGCCATCCTGCAAAATCCTAGCTAATTCATTACCCGAGTTCAAATTATCCTCTTGCAAAACAGACCCCAGAGACTTGTGCTGGCCTCACTTCAGCTGCTGTTTATTGCAAAGCAACCTGACTTAATTTTCACAGGTGAGTGAGTGTTGATGGTGAAAATCACTCACTCCAAGAATGACCACAGAAGCAGGCTCTATAGTTACCTGAAGAGTGCTCTTCTCTCAGAAGCTGCAGAGGAGTGGGGGGATGTTAGAGGCACCCCCTCTGAGCACACCTGCTGTTTGGGGAGATGAGACTTTATTTGCTAACACGTAGCTGGGAGTGTGACTTGGTTTTCCTGTTTCCATTCTGGGCTCTGGTACTTGATTTTGTTTTGTGAAGTTCTCCGGAGACAGGTGCATCCCATCCGCTGACATCTGTTGGCTCTGAGGTGACACAGTCTCATGGAGACGGCTCCTGTTTCAATGTTGTGTCTTCCGCTGTTCTGATTCTGTGTATTTCTCCTTCTCAGTTTTCTTTCTCTCCATGGGTCCCCATGGACCCAAACGGACTACTTGACATTCTCCTGCTTTCCATCCTCCACCTGTATTCTATCAGTCTGGAATACGGTAATTACTTGAATTCATCTTTCAATTCACTGGACTATAAACAGGAGCCAGGGAAAGCCAACAACTCCATTTTCCATTGGAAAATGCCCAGGGGCCGGTTAACAAGAGGAATGTTCACAGGAAATGAAATTAACAGTTTGATGAGATTTCAGAGTGTGTGCTAGGGAGGATCAACCAACAGAAGCCTCTTACCTGAAGCCATGCATCTCTTCTCTACCAACGGAGGAACTGAAGTGCAGATCTGCAGGTGAACCTCAGTTTCCCCATGAGAATTTATAAGCATTCTCTTAAAATACAGCAGTTTCACTAGGTTAGGACATTTTGTTTCTCAAGTGGGAGGAATAAGGTACACTAGAAATTATATCATCATCGTCACCATTTTTGTATATATATTTTGAAAAATGGCCTTTCTCCTTAGTTCCTGGGACATAATCTCTAAATTTTTTGAAATTTCCCTAGGAATAGAAGTATTTCTGTTACTCATGGTGGATTCCTCAGACCGCAATTAAATTTACAGTAACATGGTGGCTCAGGATGGAGGCTGGCTGTGCCAGGAAGACTGATGATGTGATTAGAGAGTAGGCTTTGAGCACAGGTAGAGAATAGAATGTTTTTCCAGGTAGTTATAAACCTGTAAGATGTTCTCTTTTAACCAAAAAGTCTAAGTCCATAAATTCCTTCTCATCATTGAGGAGCACCCCAGGATGTAAGCAAACTTAAAATTAAGAACACAATGCTATATACAGAAAGAAATTATGCCCAGGGTAACAGGCATTTTCCAGAACTTGCATGGGACTATTCCAGGATTGAAGCAATCTAGTGGGAAGAGAACAAATAAAGTTATAAACCAACTTCCTGAAAACCATATTTAAATGAGATCATTGTGCATTATTCAGGTCAAAGAATCAGTATTCCCAATCTATAAGGGGTTCTAATAAATCAGTGAGAAAAGACTGACATCCCTACAAAAAATGGCAGGGCACACAGGGAGGCAGATTTCAAGAGGCAACACAAAACGGCCAGTGTACATGGAAATATGTGCAACGTTTCGGAAAATGAAAAAATGCCAGTTAAAAATAATGAGATATTATTTCTTTGCCTAAAAGATTGGCAAAGATAAAAAAGACTTTCAGTAACTAGTATTGGAAAAGTGAACTCTCTTATTAACATGTTGGATGTATAAATGACACAATCTTTCTGGTGGGAAATACAGCATTATGTATGGAAATGGCACATGGGCACTTCTTTTTACCAATTTCATTTCCAGAAATTTATAATATGTTGATAATCAAGTATATACATACACATATATACACACTCACACACACATATATACATGGATTCAATATATCTATTAGTGGAGAGTTAAAACAGATTATGGTATATTCCCCACATGCAGAATAATATACAACCATTAAAAATCAAGATGTTGATCCATATTATTTGTGGCTACAACACATTGTTGAATAAGAAAGCAAGTGCAGGAGTTAAAAAAAAACCATTCATAGAATATTCCCATTTTAATTGTGTGAATGCACAAATACTAGCAATTATTCTATTCATGAGGGGGAATTACAGGTGATTTTAACTTTTTTGTTGTTTGAATGTATTTTAGTTTTTTTCCTACAGCAGTTTTAGGTTCATAGCAAAATTGAGAGGAAGGTGCAGAGATTTCTTATATACCTCTTCCCTCACCACATTCATAGCCTCCTCCATTATCGACATCCCCCACCAAAGCAGAATATTTGTTATAATTGGCAAACCTATATTGATTTTTCTTAATCACCCAAAGTCCATAGTTTATCTTAAGGTTTACTCTTGATGTTGTACGTTCCATGCATTTGAACAAATGTATAATGACGTACCTACCATTGTGGTGTATGGAGTATTCACTCTGTCCTAAAAGTCCTCTGTGGTTCTCACAGAGACGAATAAAGCCCTCTGCTTATCCCTCTCCACCACCCTCACCAGCCACTGGCAACCACTGGTTTTCTACTGTTTCTAAGGTTTTGCCTTTTCCAGGAAGTCGTATAGTTAGAATCACAAAGTGTACAGCACTTTCAGATTGGCTTCTTTCCCTTGTTAATATGCACTTACATTTCCTTCATCACTTTTCATGGCATGAACCCTCATTTCTTTTTAGTGCTGAATAATATTCCACTGTCTGGATATATCACAGTGTGTTTATCCGTTCACCTGCCGAAGGACATCTTCAGTGCTTCCAAGTTTTGGCAGTTATGAATGAATTAAGTTTCTATAAACATCTGTTTGACTTTCCAGGTGGCTCAAATAGTAGAGAATCCACCTGCAATGCAGGAGACCTGGGTTCGATCCCTGTGTTAGGAAGATCCCCTGGAGGAGGAAATGGCAACCCACTCCAGTATTCTTGTCTGGCAAATCCCATGGACAGAAAAGCCGAGCTAGCCCAGGGCTACAGTCTAAACGTTAGCAAGGACTGTGATTGCTGAATCATATAGTAGGAGTATGTTTAGTTTTGCAAGAAACTGCCAAACTGTCCTCCAAAGTTACTGTACAATTTTGCAATGAATGAGCGCTCCCGTTGTTCCACAAAGGTGTGGAGCAACATATCCCTTGTGGAGCAACAGGAGTTCTCATTTGTCATCAGTGTTTGAGTGTCAGTATTCCAGATTTTAGGTCATTCTAATAGGTGTGCGGTTGTATTTCACTGCTGTCTTAATTTGTATTTTTCTGCTGATATATGATGTGGAGCATCTTTTCAATATGCTGTTTGCCATTTGTATACCTTCACTGGTGGGGTGTCTGTTTAAGTTTTTGGTCCACTTTTTAATTGAGTTTTTGAATAGGTTCTCCTCTATTCCTAGTTTTTGAGGAGTTTTTATTGTGAGTGGGTGTTGGATTTTGTTAAATGCTTTTTGTGCATCTATTGATATAATCATATAATTTTTCTTCTTTAGCTTATTGATGTATTTGATTTTTGACAGTCAAACCAGATTTGCATACCTGGGTTAAATCCCACTTGGTTGTGGTGTATAATTCTTCTTATCTGTTTTTCAATTTGATTTGTTAATGTTTTGTTGAAGACTTTTGCATCTATGTTCATGAGAGATACTGTTCTGTAGTTTTCTTATAATGCATTTGTCTGGTTTTATTATTAGGGTAATGCCATCCTCTTTGACTGAATTAGGAAGTATTCCCCTGCTTCTGTCCTCCAAAAGTGGTTGTAGAGAATTGGTACAATTTCTTCCTTAAATGTTTGGTAGAATTCACCAGTGAACTTTCTGGGGCCTGGTGCTTTCTGGTGTAGAAGTCAATTATTATGCAATTTCTTTAACAGATATAGGCTTATTCAGTTTGTCTATTTCTTCTTGTATGAGTTTTGGTAGATTGCATCTTTCAAGGAATTGATTCAGTTCATCTAAGCTATCAAATTTAGGGGCATAGAATAGCTTAAAATATTCCGTTATTATTCTTTCAGTGTTGGCGGGATGTGTAATGATCTTCCCTCTATCATTTCATATACTAGTAATTTGCATTCTCTTTTTTTCCTCAGTTAGTCTGGCTAGAGCTTATGATTTTATTGCTTTTTATTTTCGTCCAAAGAACTACCTTTTGGTTTTGTTGATTTTCTCCTGTTTTCAGTTTCATTGATTTCTGTTCTAATCTTTATTGTTTCTTTTTTCCCACTAATTTTGGATTTAATTTGCTCTTCTTTTTCTAGTTTCCTAAAGTGTAAACAGATTATTGATTTTAGATATTTATTCTTTTCTAATATATGTTGTTCTGTCCCTCTTGTCCAACTCTTTGCAACCCCATGGACTGCAGCATTCTGGGCGTCCCTGTCACTCATTATCTCCCGGAGTTTGCTCAAACTCATGTCCATTGTGTTGACAATGCCATTCAACCATCTCATTCTCTGTCACCATCTTCTCCTCCTGCCCTCAGTTTTTCCCAGCATCAGGGGTTTTTCCAAGGAGTTGGCTCTTTGTATCAGGTGGCCATAGTATTGGAGCTTCAGCTTTAGCATCAGCCCTTCCAATGAATATTCAGGGTTGATGATTTCCTTTAAGATTGGCTGGTTTGATCTCCTTGCTGTCCAACAGACTCACATATTCAGTGCTATAAATTTCCCTCTAAGCAGTACTTTTACTGCCTCCCACAAATTTTGATAAGTTGTATTTTTATTTTCATTTTGTTCAAAATATTTTAAAATTTTTCTTGAAATGTTTTCTTTGACCTGTGCATTATTAGGA